GCTCCAGGAAGGTGCAGTTAAATAAACTCCTGTACTTCTGTCCAAAATGGTAACTGTACCTCCTGGAAAAATCACAAAAAGTCCTCTGAGGTTGTTCACCAAACACTGCATTTGTTCTGGTTCCCCTGAGATCACTGCCACACTCCACTCCAGACCGAACTGGCTCTCACTGAGCACCTACTGTATGTCAGGCAATAAGACAGCTATCATCCCACACAATCATCCTGTTCCCATAACTGCAAAGAGTTTCAATCCTGCAGCATTAGGATGAGTTAAAATTCAGAGCTATTACTAACCACATTAAAAAATGAGCCTGGATGACACATAAGATTAATTATATGTTATTCTACTCTGATTTTAAAAAGAGAAAAAGATTCTGGGTGATTTCACGCTGTGCTAATTTTTTAATAGGCAGAAGGAAAGGCAATCATTTAGTTGTGACAATATCATACAGTGCCAAGCGTGAACCACAATAAAAGAATATTCCACTGAAACATCTTATTTAAAAGGCTGTTTTCCTTTATGATGACAGAAAAGGGTGTTTGTTTAGCTCTGATGACACTGTAACTGATTCCAATGTTCTGCATGGAGGAGAAAAACATTTTCTCTTGCCCACATAGTAATAAGTAACCACATAAGCATAATGTGTGTGCATTAGAAAGAGGGAGACAATTAACTGCCATCATATTTACTTTCCTGTCATCAGGAAGGCCATAGAGTCTGCCCGTGGGTGTAGCTTTAGACAGGGGCATCACTCATCCTGACGTCACTTCGAGGGGAGCCCTGAAAGTCCCAAACCGGGACTGACTTTCCCTTCTCTTTGTATCTGCTCCTCCGTCCTGACCCTTGTCTGGACAGGGGAAAGAGGCTGGGAGGTAGTCAGGAAGCTCAAATATTGCAAAAGAAATAGTCCCTTCCTTCCTGAATTAGAAAGTATCAACTGACCTTAGTACATTTATTCTCTGAACTTGTAAATTTGTCCATAAGATCGTGTTTAAGAGATCTCAGCTGAGAAGTCTAGTCCTGATTTAGCTGAATGAAGAAGACTATTTGGGGGGAGGGGGGCTGGTTGGCCCCTGGAGCCAAGTCCACAAGAAGAGCAGGGGCTACTGGGGATGAGGGTGGGGTGGGGTGAGAATGGCTGGGAGAGGAGTCAGGCTGGCTAGAGGACTTGATTTCATACCACATGGGACTTCCCCTTCAGAGTAGTAGCCCAGTGGTAAAGGCCAAGCATATGGCCAAATTCAAATAACTTAAAAAACACTCAAAATATGTATAGCTCATAACTGCATGTCCCCTGCCTCCTATCTCACCTTCTTCATCTGGCAGCTGGTGCTCCTCCTTTGAGCCCCAGCAGCTTCAGGAAGTGTGGTCTGCCTCCTCCACTCTCCCCAGCCTGGGTGGGCGCCCCTTCCTGGCGCCTGAACACCTCATGCCCACTTCCTGACCCTGAGATAGGGAGGAACAGCTTTAAGCAAGCTGAGTTTGAAGGGCCTAAGCTGTAGCCTTGGCCCAGACACTGGCCTCTCCCTCTGTTCTTTCTTCCTACCTCCCTCTGCACAGGAGGGCAGCTGCTATTCTGGTTGTCTCCTGAGACCACATTGCGCTGTGGGCAGGGCCGCTGTGTCAGAAGGCAACGTGTACTCACAAGTGTCCCTTTTCTTCCACCTGCTGCTGCATGTGGTGGGCTGGCTCTTCTCTATGTGGCTCCTTGGTACATGAGTTTGGGAAGTGCTCCACAGAACTCACTAATTCCTGCCACTCACCACCAGGATGCTGAGATTTGATATGGGGGCAGGAGGGCATTCTAGAGTCTTGGGCCTCAGCCAGGTGCCCTGACTTAGCTTAGAGCAGCCCTGAATTTGGCGTCATTGGATGCTTGCCCATCTGGCATTTTGTTCCCTATTTGGCAACTGATTCTCATACCTACAGCTCCTTTGTCAGGAAACTGCAAAGGAAAGCATGCTGAGTGGGACAGAAGAACCTAACTATATCCCAAACCCTAACACTCTCATCTTAGCACTTCTAACGACACTGTAATTATCTGTCTCCCTCATTAGACAGTAAATTGCCTGAGAAACTATTATTGATCTTTATATCCCCAGTGCTTAATACAATGTCCAATACATATTAGGTGCTCAAAAAATGTTAAGTGAATGAATGATGGATGGATGGATAGATGAGTTTGGCCATACTTGGACCTACTTCATCAATCCAATACCTGGCTACTCTGCCATGGATCCTCAGGTAGACACTGGGCATTTCCTCCACGAGCTGTAGCTGTCCTACCTCTGGTTTTAGCCCAGCTGGTCACCTTACTCAGAATGTCCTCCAGTCCAGCTCAGCATTCACATTCTCCATTACGCCCCTTCCAGCTAGTTCTGCCCATGCTCATTTCCTTTTCTAGAAGCCTCTTGCGCAGCTTAGTACTTCTTTATTCTCTGCTTTAAGTTAAGTGTGCCGCAGTTATGTTCTTAACCAGATTACATATGACCTGGCCTTGACTTACGACTTCTGGGAGATGCATCAGGCAGGGTAGAGTTCACAAGCAGAGGAACTGCTACCTGCTCCCCTAACGTGAATGAGGTGGGAAAGTCACGTAGTTTCCCTGGGCCTCAGTTTCCTTATCTGTGAAAAGGGGAATAATTATCTATTTGAATGTGTCTTGGCATTGTAAGGCTCAAAATAAAGATGTAATGGCATCTGCAAAAATGTTATGAACAATTTATACTCCTTAGAATGTGGACTAGAGTTTGGATCAGAGGAGAGCTTAATAACTTACAGATTTACTTCATGATGATTACATCACTTACAGGCAGCTCATTAATGATGGCTGAGATCTTACTATCACCCAAGTGAGGATTATCATTTGCAATGACAGGTGGGTGATCTGGTGCCTTTTTGCCTATTGCAAGGAGTGTTGGCAGGCTGAAAATGTTTGAGAAATACTACAAGGGAATCTACTGGAATGTAGTCTTGCCATTTAAAAACATTTGCCATTATTGTATTCCTTAAAGCTAATTCTTCTTTGTTGGGGATATCTTAGTCCACTCAAGCTGCTATAGCAAACTACTGTAGAAGGGTGGCTTAGAAACAAGAGAAATTTATTGCTCACAGCTCTGGAGGCTGGACATCCAAGATGAAGGCACCAGCAGTTTCGGTGTCTGATAAGAGCCTGATTCCTGGTTTTCAGATAAGCATCTTCTCACTGTGTGCTATAGGATAGTAGGGACAAGGGAGCACTCTGGGGTCCCTTTTTATATGGATTTAATCCTATTCATATGTGCTCATGACCTAATCACCCCCAAAGAGCCCTCCTCAAAACACCATCACACTGGGCGTATTTCATCATATGGATTTGGAGGGACACAAACATTCGATCTGGAGCAAGGGATTTGTAATCTGACACAGGGGTCACCAAAAAGTCACCCTGATACACTTCCCTGCTCTTACGTACTTGTAACGATACCTTAACCTGAGCTTTAATCCCAATACAGATTTCTGAGGAAAGTTGGGCAGGATTTCTCACTCCCGCTTCACGAGTGAGAGCTCAGAAGTTCCGAGAGCCTGGCAGCCACTGAGTCAGCACCCCGAGCTCACCTGCAGTGAAAGGTTAGTCTTTTTTCTAGTAGATGAGGCAAAGGGCCGAGGGATCAAGGCCTGAGTCTGAAGAAAATGTAGGCTGTTTGATGTTTAGCCTTTCAGGCACTTAGACTTAGTGGGATAAGAGGTTTAGTTTTGTTTAAAATGGAATTCCTGGATCATCTCTCAGTGGTTCATATACATTATTCCTGTTGCTCTGCTCCATATAACCGAGAGTTCTGTACATGGTGGTGACTATTTAGCATATCTGTGCTTCCAAATGACTCCTGGAGTCAACTTTCTTTGCCTAATACTAACTTCAGTAAAGAAAAACATACTAGGCTGGTAAAGAGCTTTAATGTTGTGTGATAATAAATTGTGACTTACTAAACATTTTAAGATTTTAAAAAATGCCTTTCTTACCTATTGGCATTTAGTTTAAAGCACAAAGAAACAAAAATAAGGAGAAATTTAGGAAAACTATGGAACAGTTTTTATCTTAGTTTCATTAAAGGAAATTATGCTTTGTAGCATCATTGACTCCACTGGCTGAATAAACATTAGAGTTCTTTTGTATAGAGACTATTTTATATACTACAAGATTCCCTAAGTCATGATGTGTATGGGGTTTTTGTAAGCAGTTTTAAGACCTAACATAAAAATATTTGAGCATTTTTTTACAATGTGGTATAAAGTATGAATACAGAATGACACCTGTTTTCTTTGATTTAGAAATTACATGTAAGAATCTAGTAACATTAGTTTTAAAATAAGCCCATGCAAATAGGTACATGGAGGGGATTTAATAGCCTTTAGCTAAATTGATTAACATATGCCATGTTGTGTGAAAACCTAATCATCCTATTCTGTATTTCTGCTTATGACTCAAATTCTAAAAGTAGTAGTGGCCTAAGGAACTGTATATCCATGAGCTGTCTGATGTGGTAACTGCTAGAAACGTGGCTATTTAAATTAAAATTCAATAACATTTAAAATCCAGCTCCTTATTTGCACGAGCTACATTCAATTGCTCAAAAACCACATGTGGCTAGGGAGGGCCATATTAAACAGGGGAGAGATAAGACATTTTGCAGAAAGTGCTATTAGATAGCTGTCCTTTCTATTGACAGCACAGGCCAATGAGGTTAACAAGGAGCCCAAGTGAATGGGAGAAAAACTTCATCAAATTGTTCCAAATCGCACTCCCCTGTTCAATGTTTCCAAATACTTCTGTTGTTACACCCACACAGCTGAGTCTTGGTGATGGTAAATCATCCCATCTTTATACCTTCCATAGCCACTGCTTTAATATTGGTGAAATAAGCCTCAGATCTGCTACTTGAGGGAGACTGTGATTTCATGAGTAATTTAAGATAATTCTCTCTGTCGCAACATCAGATGTTTCCCTGAGGAGCACACACTTTTGAATGCACGTTACTTTATTGAAGCACACATATATACAATGAGGACAAAGGAGAACTCCGCAGAGTTGAGCACAGTGGCTGCATGCATTGGGGAGACAGGCAGACTTGGGTCTTACACAATGAAATAGGGGTTGGAAAGTAGGCAGAGACCGGAGAGCAAGTTTCATTTCCCATCACCACATAGAACGGTCTTCCAGCCTGTCAAACAGAAGAAGCAGAGCATGTGAGAGAAGCTTCCAGCTTCCCGGGAGGCTGGCGGGAGTAAGACATTCCGTTCTGAGATGGAAGATCGTCAGAAACTGTTGCAGAGGCTCCCGTTGCCATTCTGTGTTGAACATCCGAGTGGGAGGCAGAGGCACAGTGCAAAGACCCAGCTGAGTAGCTTTTGCTCATGGTAACGGGGGTCTCAGGCACATCTCAGAAGGACCGTTTAAAAGGCTTTGTGTTTATCAAAGAGGCCAAAGAACTCTGCAGTATTTCTGAAGATCAAAACTACAGGAATCACACGAAAGTGTAACAAGAAAGTTATTGTTGCTCAACTGTGAATATGCTTCCTTTGTTTTCCTGCAAGGCTTTTTATGTAGTGAGATGCTATTGATCAGACTATAAAGAAGCCTTTTTAATAAAACAGCATTCACAGGGAACTTCGAGGCCATCAAGCTCAGTTTCCTCCTAACTGCATTTGATTGTGGCTGTCAATCAGGGTGCAGTTAACTTTATTTCATGTACTAACTGTCCAACTTCGGGCCACAGAACAAAGAACAGCAGAAAGGTTGTAAGTGGGTCTGGATGGTTCTTTTTCTTATCTTAAGTAGAGAGAGCTTACCCTAAACTTTTGCTGTAGCAAACATCATATGCATGTCCATGAAACATGAAAAAGCATTTATTGGTTAGTATGTAAAAATAATCCTCGTGAATCTTCCATCCGCTTCCCTTGCATTTGCTGTTGAAATCTGGCTGGTACCTCCAGGGACAAGAGCACTGGAGTTTTATTCCAGTCCAAATGGTTGTTTCTCTCGGAGAAAACAAACCTGACAACTCTAGACCTGCACCTCCACCCTGGCTGGCCATTGCACAAGAGGACAGTGGGAAGAGGAAGGGAAGGTGAGGGTGGCTCACCAGGTCATCGGCTTTAACCTCTAAGGGGAAGCCCAATGAAGAGTGACAGGCCCGTCACACTCACTGAGCAAGTGTTCTAGTGACCTCTTCTGGGGAACTTGGTTCTTGCCGTTGTCCAGCTCTGGGCTTAAGGCAGACAAGCTACCACGGAAATGGATAAACCATATGCCAACTGGGGGTAGGGGAAGAGGCAGTGGACAGAAAAGGCAGTTATGAAAACAGAGGAGGACCGGGCTCTTTTCAGCAGAACTCCTTGTCCAGGAGGCACCAGAGCATCCTGGTCCAATGTTTGACCCCTAGACATTGGTGGGCACCCCTTCCCAAAACAGCCCACACTCCGAGAAATCCCCAAGGCTACAGACAAGCCCCTAAGAATAATACATTGTTCAACATTCATTCACTGAATGTAATAAATTACTATGTGACATCAGTTGAACTAAAATAAGTTTAAAAGTAAACTAGCTCCCTGTAATTTATCTACAGTTTCATGTAAAACCAGAAAGACTGGAACACTCTGCACAGTATATAAAAACTAAAAATTACCCCAAAGTTTGGTGATTGGTCATTTCAGTGTAGAGATGGGGATTCACTCTATGTCTATAGAGTAATTTCTGCAGTAAAAGTCACTTATACTTAAAGTTTTCCAAGGAGCACCAAATAATTTGCAGTAGAAAATATTACCCCACAGAAGTTCAGAGATTTACAAATGACTACATGAAAAGAAAGGTCCTCCCCACCTTGTTCCCCATCCCCATTTCTCTCTGAATTCTACCTGGTACGAAAGACCCCAGTCCAACGCTTCCTCCCCAGGCAGCCCTTTCTGATTTCCCTCTCCCGTTCCCACAGAGGCCTTTTCATACCTAGTTCGGGGAACATTTTCTGTGCTTTCGTTCATCAAGAAGTCCGAAATCAGTGTCTCAGGGCTGGACCGTTTTCCATACCTAACCAAAAAAAAAGAAAAGTTCTTTAAAGCAAGCTTTAAATATTCATAAAAATCTTTAGAAAGAAAGAAGATAGTCTCTCACATGGGGTATCAAATCTAAAAGTTATTTTCAGTTAACCGTCTGTTAACAAATAATCTAGGTGTACAAATCATACATGATCAAAAACATCATAAATATGATTTAAAATTAAATATGTATATAATTTTGTTTACATACTTAAATAACAGATTATTTAAACCCAACCAAAATCCCAAATTCTTGTCTTTTTATACCGCAAATATTACATATGTAGATATGTAACTAGGTGACAGGAAATAAAACTACATCAAAGTATGATTTTAATGTTTCCATGATTAGTTAATTGGCTATAGTTCTAATGATGTACAGCAGTTTAAGTCTTAATAAAGAGACCAGATGATATTTCAGAAACATCCCTAGAAAAAAAGTCAGTGACTGAAGTGCTAGACTCACCTGTGTCTTTCAATCTCTGTTTTCTCTTTTGTAAAATCAAAATCACAACTCATGCTTAAATTGGGGTCTTTGTGAAAATTCCATGTGAGTCACAATGCTTTGTAAGTGACAAAATGATAGGCAAGTGCATGTTACTACCGTTGAAATCCACCCATTCTTACAGAGAGCAAAGGAACCTGGGCCCTACATTTTCCATTTTCTCTCATGCTGTGATTTTAATCTGCCCTGTAAATATAAAGGAATCCTACTGGTCCATAGAAATGATCCTGGTCTTTTTTCTTCTGTTGCAGGATATGAAAAGGACAACAAATGAATGCAAGGCTACTCTTTCCTGCCAGGATGGCATAGCTGCTTGCTCCAGGTGAGTGAGCGAGTAAACTGATCCATTCCCCCCTCCCTCTCTCTCTCACACACTATTAAAGAGTCTAACACGTCTATAGTACCAAGTAGCTTTTTTGTTTTTTTGGAAGAGGCACTTTTCCCCTTTTTCAAAAAAGGCATTGGACACCAACAGCCACTTTTTTTCACAAATGAGAGATTGGCCTGGCATGGACTGATGAGCTAATAGATAACACAGAGTAACAAAGCTGTCAGCAGGTACCCTCTGACTGCCTATCAAGCACAACTAAATCTAAACTTTGGGAGAAATTTTCCTATTATTACTCCTTTTCTGGGACTCAAGGGAACAAAAACGAAAGCAACCCCTCCTGTTCCCATCATTTGTAAGGTTTCCTCAAAGATTTTCTGGAGTTGTGATATCAGATTCTAGGTGGCTGCTTACACTTATTTCCCCCATCAGTTCATTTTACTAATCTTAAAACTCTTGGGCAACCTTAACTCACTTATCTTCATCATGCTCCAGTGAATGAAAGAACTGGCCAATATTTTCTCCAATTTACCAGCTAAAGAAACTAAATCTATCAGAGCAGGATTTGTACAAGGACAGAACTGTTCCCTCTTCTTCTTTCTCTAATTTATTCTGGGCTATCCTTTCTCTCTACAATGCTTTAACTTTCGAAGATAGAGTCTGTAGGGGGTTAATCCCAACCCTGGTTGCACATGAGAGTCACCTGGAGAGCTTTTAAAACCACTATGAAGTCCAAGTCCCACCCCCACTCCCAGGCTCTGATTTAACTGGTAGGGGGTGCAGCCCAGCATCAGTATATTGTTTAAATTCTCCAGATGATTCCAGTGTTCGACCAGGATGGAGAAACACTTAATCTAGGGCTGGGTTCCTCACCCTCAGCACTATGGATATTTGGGGCTGGATAATTCTTTGTTGTGGGGGGCTGTCCTAGGCATAGTAGGATGTTCAGCAGCATCCCTGGCCCCTACCCACGAGATACCAGTAGCACCACCCCTCGTGACAACCAAAACTGTCTCCAGACATTGCCCAGTATCCTGGGAAGCAAAAAGGCTGCCTGAGTTCAGAAACACCTATCTAGCAAAATGTGGTAGGTCCACGCTCTAGGAAAAAAATAACGCAGATTTTGGAAGCAGAGAACTGGGCATACAGTTTAAAAACATGAACTGTGCAGAAAAAGAGAGGAAAGAATGTTTATGACAAAGTCAAACACGGACTCACAAATGACACTATAATTTTCAAAAATACCAACACGTGCGTGTGAGCGGATGTGTGCGGTGGGAAGACAATAACCATGCAGGATGGAGATTATTATTGGTGCAGATTATAAATTCTGATGGTTTCTAAGGAGGAATTTACATGAAGATGAGACAGAAAACTCCGTTCCAGGACCAACGCATTTTCACCGACCCTGAATCTCTCCCCATGAAACTCAAGTCTCTTCCCCTTGGTTCTCTCCTCATGAAAGATGTTGGAGATCACACTGACTGCGGATGGCGGTGACAACATCCAGGGAAAATCATCACCACCCCTAAAAAGGTCTCATGAAATGTTCTTAGTTTCATGATCTGTAAAACGGAGATAATTATGCTCACCCCAAAGCTCTGAGGTAAGGACTGAACAAAATAATGCCTAGAAAAACATTTTGAAATGCTAAAGCTTCATACCTATAATGATAAAGCTTCATAGCAACTCTCTTTTCAAAAATCAGCCCTACTGTGTGTTATAACTGACAAACTGACAAAAGTTTTCTTAGAAAGGACAATACCTTTTTTGTTTGGATAAGCTCTTTTCTCTGGTGTGTAAGAGAGCATAAGCAAGCATTAGAAGCAATTAACTTCCTGAGAAGTCTCAGGACATAAAGCATTGTTGCTTTTCACTAATTAACATTATCAGGCTTCAGGGATCATAAGCCAATACTATTTAATCCTGGCACCTCCATGTATTTCTGATTCAATGTAAATTGGGACTTCTTAGAAAACTTCTCAGGATGAAACAGCTTTTTGATGAAACATAACAAGGACACTTTATTTAAGAAATAGAAATTCTCCCCACTTTGCATCCATTCCAACTACTCCCTGACTTGTAAACAGTACAACTGTGGTAAAAACAAAAACGACACTTCACAAAGCATAATTTCAACATGTTAAATAACACTAATGCTTTCAAAAGGTTCCTTGTTTTTATTAAGGTCACTTGATCTCGGGAATTAAAATAAGATATTGAATGATTTAAAACTAAGATGAACCAATTTTGGAAACAAATTTTAAGTCCTATATTATTTGTAAAAATTGTTTGGATGTGATTTTCTTTTTTTTTTCTTTTTGCTTAATATTTGATGTTGAGAGTAAAAATGCGGAATTCATTTTGGCTTCCTGGGTGTGCAGAATGAGGTTTACCATGTCTTGAATTCCACATACTCTCTGGACTCACCCTAGAGTGACAGACCAATGTGCGTTTCTATCTAATAAAGCACCAAGCAGTCACTTTCTTTTCAAACCTCACCTGCTATAAAATGGGCAGGTCTCTGCATTTTAGATCAACTCTTTTCTGCTAAATCTCTATTTATTGGGACCAGAATTTTCAAGTAAAGGTCTAAGACTGAAAGAAAAAAAAATTCCACTGTACAGCAGAAAAGAAAATAGCTCTATTTGTCTTTTCCTCACCAGTGCCATTCAATTCGCTCCGGGCAGGGTGGAAAACCCAGCTGTTTCCCCTCAGCTTTTGCTGTTTCTCCTGGACACCCTGCCCTACGTTTTCCCTGCAGCCCTTCCCTGGGGGCACTCCTGACCCCTTTCAACAGGGAACTTTCCCCTCCGGGTTTCCAAACAGTCTCTCCACTGCTCTCAGAACAAAAAAGACAAGGGGATGGGGGGGTAGGAGGAGGTGCAGCCACACGGCCCAGAGAACCTGACCCTGAGTCAAGATTTTGTGACTGTAGCTGCGGAGGGAGCGCGCTCAGTAAGTCCTGCCGCTGTCCTGCCCCGGGACGGAGGGAGCGAAGCGGAGCAGGCCCTGTCCCCTCCGAGACCCCCAGGGGCGGGACGGGACGCTCGGGCAGGGCCCCCGCCGCCCACGCACCTCTGCCTGGTGATCAGGTTGATGTAGTGCCGCAGCGCAGAGTAGTATTTGGCCAGGTCCTCCGCCGACGCGCCCTCGCCGGGCTTTTCGGGCTTGGTGGGGTACGCCTCGGTCAGCGCGCCCAGGCACGCGAGCAGGGACAGGGCGAGGGTCAGTCGGGACAGCCCCAGGCGCTTGCTCCCCAGCATCTGAGGGCACCAAAGGCGCAGGGCAGCGGGGTTGGGAGTTTAGAGGACACATACCCCCACCTCCCTCCTTTGCTTCCCGGCGCCCGTCCCCCTGCTACCACCCAGGACCCGGAATCCGTGCTCCACCCAGTGACACAGAGGGGAGCCGAGTGTGACAGGCACCACCCGCAGGCTTAGGGCACAATCCGCGCGGCCCCTCTGTGCCAACGGAAAACTCCGTGCAACTTGGGTCAAAGTCACAGCGCGGAGAGTCCCGTAGTGAGGGGCGCAGAGGGGGTGAGAGGTGGGGGCGCCCGTTTAGGCACTTTAGAGACAGAATTAGAAGCTCCTCCTGCTGGTTGAGGATCATCACTTTCCTGCCCTCTTTCCCCAAATCCCTGTCTGGGGAGGAAAGTTTCTTCTGGGATACTTTTGATCTGTCCGGCTGCAGGCGCTTGACAGATGGCTGAGGACCTCGGGTGGCAATTTGGGAGGGAGGGGAGAGAACGCTCCCCGGGCCAGTGGGTCTCAGGTCCGATCCCAGGTTAGGCGCCCGAGCCCCAGAATTCCTCATTCGGGGGGCTGCCTGGGAAACCTCCCGGTAGGCTGAGACCGCGGAGGAAACTGCCAGCTGCTCTAGGTTGGGGGTCGTGTTCTCCCCCCACTTCCTCCAAAAGGCAACGGAGGGAACCGCTCAGCCGGAGGGCCTGGGAGAGGGGTGGCAGGACAAGCGGAGGGGCCAGGGGGCAGGTGGAAGTCAGGGGCCAAGAGCGGCTGGAGCGCGTTGGGCAGGGAGAGAACGGGGTGGGCGAGCAGGGGCCGGCGAGCGGCGCGACCCTCCCAGTGCCCCAGGGCTCCGCAGAGGGCGCGACAGGCCCCCTGGCACCGACCGCCTGGGCCCCTGTCCGGCGGAGGGCAATGGCACTCACGGTGACGGTGGCGGGCGGCGGGCGTGGCTGGGCAGCGAGTGCTGGGCTGTCCGGAGTGCCTCTCCCGGGCGTGAGAGCCGGTGGATGGGGTGTCGTGAGCGGGTTGCAACAGGGCTTTTATGGTGCGCGCTCGCAGCGGCAGGAGGGGCCGTGGGCACTCACGCTCCGGTGACTCTCACCCTCCACTTCCCGCCCCCAGAGGCGGGGTGGGGGAGGGGTTGCCACCGCAGCCCGAGTGTCTCTGCGGGGAGCCACCCACAACCCGCTCTCGCCCCCAGGCCCCGGAAGGGGGCCTGGCACCGTGCAGGCCAGGCAGCGGGTTTTGAAAGCGTTGGACAGCGCCAAAGTCAAGTCCCCGACCTCCGGCGTGGCCCGAACCCCTCTTCCCTTCGCGCCCGTCTAGTCCTGCCAGAGACAGGCGTAGTCCAGATCATCTTTGTCGCCTGTCACTAGGACCACCAACTCCTTTGGCACGAGGGTGGGGGTACCTAAATTCTCGACTTTGTGGAGCATCTCCAGGACCCAAGCGGTAAGCGCACCGGGCACAGCTGTGCGCGTTTGCGTTGGGGCAGACCACTTGGTGCACAGGTTTTCCTGCGCCTAAAGCAGGTCCAAGGCGCCAGCCCCAAGTCCGATCAAGAGGGTCCCAAAGGTACCCTCTCCTGCCAGGGGCTGAGAGTGGGCTTTCGTGGCTATGGCCCCTCTCCCGGGCTTGTTTTACAGGGATATGAGCCCTTCCCAAGTACTCGCCCAAAGGCGGGACCTGAAAGTGTGGAGACCAAAAACTTCGAGGCGGCACGTGGTAAACTCACTTCCTCGGTTTGCAGGGAAAAAGCCGCGTTTCAAGGGTCGAGAGGCCCCTTAAAGCTCAAAAGAAATATTTTGTTCCCAAGTGACAGGTAGTCAAAAGAACAGCGATTTCTCCCTGGCCGGGAGGCTCGGTTCGCTGGAGCCGCCTCCCCTGCAGCACAAGGTCGGGGTTCCATCCCGGTGGGGTGAGGGGAGGCGACACATCAATGTCTCTCTCTCCCTTTATCTCTCCAAACACATCCTTGGGTGAGGATTTAAAAAAGAAAGACAGCAATTTTTCTTTTGTCGGGTAGCCCTTAGTCTCAAGTACATTCAATTAATGTTGATGGAGAACGTAGGTTCTGATGGAAATAAAACAGGTAAAAAAGATCATTTATTTGCACATGGCGTTAAACCTGTTGAATGAATATGAAAGATATGGAAACCATTTTTTACAGGCTCGGTATTTCATGTAGTGGACTACATCTTTAAATTCCCTGAATGCTCCTGGAAGTCTGAATCCTTCTAAATGAAAGGGCACCTTAGGATGCTAGAGCATTAAGTTATATGTTGTTTTAATGTTAAAATGACGAGAGTCTGTTGGACACTTTGTTTCTGTGCTTTTTTGATAGAATTGATTTAAATATAAATTACTGTGTAACAAGCAATCCTGTTGTGTGTTAGAAATTTTGAAGAGCAACATCCCTTTCACTTAGCTGAATGTTTCTTTTCCATATTACATAAACATGTGCCAGAAACACAAATATCAGGGCTCTCAGTGTTGCTCAGCATGCTTACGTGGGAGAATTTGGTAAAGTTAGAGCAAACGAAACACCTTTTAACTTCAAGCCCCTTTCTTGATGAGGGGAAGAGCACAGTCCACTTTTCAATAAAATAATCATTTCAACATCAGTTGAAACCCAGACTTATAAGTGGAACCCACCCCACTAATCTTTCAATATTGTTTCTGTAAAAAGTGTTTTTGTAAAAGATGAATTGTTAACTAATATGTAGCCAGTAGATCAACAGCATACTTGTGAAAGAGTTCCAGGAATGAACTTCAGGAGCTGATTCCAGCAACCAACAGTCTGGCTCCAGATTTGCTGACTTTCAACCATAAAAACAAGATCTTCACTTGACCAGTTTCGAGATAATCATCAGAATAGACTGTGCTTACACATAGACAGCTTTCCTGATTTCTGTTCTGCTTTCCCTCTCCTTCCTAATAAAAACCCCTGCCTGCACTGATATGGTCAGATGGTCTTTAGGATGGGAGTCCACTATCTTCTCAAGCGGCCAACACTTGAATAAACCGTCTTTCCTTACATTAGCACCTGTCTCTCAAGGATTGGCTTTCAAAGAGACAGGCAGCCAAACCTCAGTTCCGTGTCAGAAGGAGTCATTGAATTAGGGAGAAATTACTTCTAAGGAGATGTACTACTCTTGAGTGGGAAAGAATGTGTAAATTTGATTAATTTAGCTTAAGATAATGCCACTGGTACCCAAAAATAAGAGCTTATTCTCAGGGTTCAGCGACTGGGGCATAAAAAATGGAGCCATGTGCCCTCCATGTATCCTTAAGTACTTATCCCCTTTCTCTAGTCCCAGCTGCATCCCCTGGCCTTGGGCTCTGAACAATCTGTCTCTTCTCTCAGGACTTTGCTCCATTAATTGTCTCTTCTCTTTTCTGTAATTTTCTATGCATATGTATATACTTATAGCTTATAAATTTGCTTGAGTTTGTTTTGTAAAAGAAACAAAGCAAACCCACC